CATGTAATATATATCAACACTCAAATAATGCATTTTTCGTCTACATATTATACCTCATATATTTGGTATCGTATATCGTACCCTATCTCGGGTAGAAACACAAAAAAGCCCTTATATGAGGTCAAGTGCGATTTTGTGTGAGTTGGAATTGGATGAACCTGTTTTTGACAATTAATGTTTGGTGCATACACAGTCTAATAGTAAAATTTGCTTGATTTTAGGGGTAGCGCATTAAGCAGGAGACTTAAGGATAGGGAAAAGGAGATCGAAACAGATAACAGAGACAGAGCCAGAGAAAAGGAGGAATTGGAGGAAGTCAAGCACAGACTTCTTGAAGAAGGAAGAGTTGGGGAAGATGTTGAAGAGGAAATTGCAAGGGTATGGAGACATCCAGTTCTTAACGTATCTTATCAAGAATCTTACCTAGAACGTATTTTGACTTTGAAAAGTTTTTCGAAAATGTTTTTCGGGCGGTGAGTAATTGCCAACGCTTGCTGCAGCTGGAGCGAGAGAAAGAAGAGCACATGCGCCCCTGCCTGAAGCTGGAGGTGGTTGTCGAACCAGACACAAAGCCAGAGATGAAAATTGAAGAATCGCCCGAGGACGATAAGGAGGGTATCATCTTTCCGCCAGCGCCACCTGGACACGATGAGCAGGCAGCGTCGGCATCGGACGATGCTGATGATGCGGACGACTTTCCCTCGGCGGCAGACGCGTACAATCACACGGCAGACGACACGTCCAGGTCTGCTGTCAGCAGCGGCAAGTTTGGTGAGTCTTCCACTGATGAAGCAGAGCTCATTCACTGTTATGTGGAGGTAGGAATAATGGCAGCAGCAGGGACAGGGCACAGGACCACAGTTTTTTTAATCTTGAATACATTCATTACCAAACCCTCTTGTGGTTACGTTCTTTTTGTAAACCTGACCGTTACTTCGGGTCTAAAATAGAATAAATAATATTTTCAATATATTTTTAACATATATTTAAAATAATGTTTTTTGCCTGTAAAGCTTTTGAGTATCCATTTTAGTTACGGATCTCTACCCTACAACTCTAACGCAATCCTTAACCCTAAAATCCCTCCAAACGAACCACCCTCCGCAAGCAATGATAAGTAAGCGCAGGGCAAGTTCAATAAGAACTGTTAATCGCCAGTCAATTATTGCCGTTCCTGCCCGGTTGACATACCGCGTGTGGCGAGGGTCGGTGTGCGCGTACTAGTGTTGTCAATCGGTTGTAATTTCGTAATCGATCATCGGTTGGACCCAAGTGACCGATGATCGGTTACAATCGGTTACTCGGGTGTTGAATGCCTGCGTGTGCGTAACGTTGTGCGCATGTACGTGTGTGCATGTACGTGCTTGTTTAGCCCTGTTTACTGTTTGTTTTGCACTGTTTACTACTGTGTGTATAATACATGTATGTTAATAAATGATAACTTGTATATAGTAGCGATGATATCTCTGATTCTCATCACTTTTCCAAGTTTTCTTGTTCAAATTGAATATGGATTTTGATAACCAAGCGCTTGGTTCGAGCCACTGTTTAACCGATGATCGAGTATAATCGATGATCGTGACATCACTAGCACGTACACTGACAGGCGTGTTCTTGCAGAGACACCGACCCCGCCGCAGCAGCAACAGCAGCAGCAGCAGCCGCAGGCGAGTAAGCGCAAGAAGCTGACCGTCGGCGACGTGTTCAACATCAACCAGGAAGCGGGCGACGACAGCGGTGCGTCGACGGACGGCCCGCGGCGACGCAAGCTCGTGCCGATCGATTACACGCCGGAGGAGAAGCGGGCCGTCGAGAAGCCGCTGAGCGCCGACGAGAAGAAGAAGCACATCAAGGGCCTCATCGAAAAGATACCGACGCAGAAGGCAGAGCTGTTCAGCTACGCCGTCGACTGGTCGATCGTCGATAGCGTACGTTTATCGCCTCACCGCGTCGCCCGGCGTCGGGCTGTAACGACGTCAGGGGCTGTTGCTTGTAATTAGTGTGGGTGGTGGTGGGTCCATTGCTTTTAGCTAGTGTGGGTGGTGGTGGGTCCATTGCTTGTAGCTAGTGTACATAATGATGGGGCTGTTGTTTTTGGTAGAAATATTTGGTATCATTTGTAGACTAAACGTAGGGCTTCTCACGTGGTGAGATGACTTACAGAGGAGCTATTGGTGAGCCAACCCTTCTACCCGCCCGCTCCCTTACACGCACGCATGCGTTTCTAGTGGTCTAACAACTATTGTTCGTACTTCAGAGCTTGATGGAACGTCGAATCAAACCGTGGATCAATAAGAAGATCGTCGAGTACATTGGTGAAGAGGAGCAGACGCTTGTAGAGTTCATTTGTCAGAAGGTCATGGCACACAGCACACCTCAGAGCATACTCTCCGACGTCGGCATGGTATGAAACACCTACTGCTGTTCATGTTAGCTAATCGCTGTCGAACTGCATGCTCTTGTTACCTAGGTACATGATCATGCATAATGCCGATTGTTTTTATTTTAAGTTATCTGTTTCGCCTGTAAGTTCTATGATGTTTGCTTTCTCTTGAGTCCACATGATGTACAGATGTAAATAATAACGAGGTAGCATATGGTTTGTGTTGTTCATTGTGCTTGTTGGTTTTAACGATTGTTTACTATATACCCCTTATATAATGAATATTTTTTCTTGCCTCTTAAACGAAGTTCCATTGGCTAGAGCATTGTAAACGATGGACGATAGCAGCCATAATCAGCCATTATTCTTGTAAAGGAATCTAAATGTGTATCCCGGTGGGGTGATACTCCATTAGGAGTGTTCCCAACTTTAATGTCATTAATGGTCATAATAACATATATATATTACTCTACAACTCTACATAACAATATATACTAACCGCTACATATATATATATATATATATATGGTCATGGTCATGGTCATATATTAGTTTGTGGTTTAATGTCATTTAGGTTAGGGTTAGGATTATCAATCATTAATCATTAATCATTAATGATATCAAAGTTGGGAACACTCCTAATGGAGCGTTAGCCAACCGGTGACCTAAACTGAACTGGTTTAGTATGTACTGTAACCGAGATTACAGGCTACATCACGGCAGCTAATAGTAAATTTTCCTGTGCGTTGCTAGGTGTTGGATGAGGAAGCAGAAGTGTTCGTTGTGAAGATGTGGAGACTTCTCATATACGAAATCGAAGCAAAGAAGCACGGTCTGGTGAAGTAATTGGGAGAAAAGACTGTACCGTATTCTGGTACAGCGTGTGTAAATAGCTTGACGGGTTATCGCTGGAGTCTGCACACAGTACGGTGACACACCATCATGTCCGTGGGAGGATGGAATCGAGAATATTCTTGTGTGAAGCTCAGAGACCGTCTAGAACGTGACAGGATCACGCTGTGGACAATTCAGCCGTACACTGTGAGGGAATGCTGCGGTATGTGTATGCGTTCATGTGCACTTTCTGACTACTTGACGTAACTGCTGTCTTAGACGTTTACAGGCATGATCAGTAGCAATGAAATTGGGCATAGTATGCATACTCTCATTGCATACAAAAATGTTGCAATGTTTACAGGATCATCCAATTAGATGACTTATTATATTAAACGTGCCTTGTTCAAACTCTCTTTATTCGCTATTATTTTCTCTATTCCATCAAGAGACGATCAGATGAACATTAACAGTGGCTCAACCCACTTCCTACAGCATAATCCATTTGTACATAATACATTTGTCGTATGTACTAGTAGTAATTTCTCATGTGCTCCAAATTAGTTGATTCAGCTTCACAGTTAGTGGCCATGCCTCAGTTATGTTCATCTTGCGGCCCATGGTAGCCAACCTTACTGTGTGAGCAGAATACAATAATTGCAAATTATCGATAATGAATTAATAGCGCTAGGCATTGTAAAAGAAAGAGCGGGTTGTCGCGTCTATAAAACACATTGCTTCGAAAGCCGTATTTCCAATGTTTATTTTGGCAGGTTTGCAAACTTTCTGTAATCGTTTAGCAATTATGAATTTAAATATATTAGTCTAACGCTGCCGATGCATGTGGTTCTCACTACTTTCCATATGCGATGTAAATACCTGCGCTTTCTTAATTACAAACTGCAACAAGATATAATTTTTTTGAAACTGTGTGATTAAAAGCTATCTGCTAAAATAAATGGATTAAATATGAACTGTGTAGTGACTATGTTTTTGAACGTTTTTTGCTATTATAGATTCGTTTATTTGCATTGCTTATTTAAATAGGCATAAAATAATACCAGCACCATTAGTTGGGCTGATAATCTCATCGAAACAGCCATACTGTGCGCTCGAATATAGAAACGTGAAACGCTTGCACATATGTACTAGTGTAGTACAGTTCCTGAAGATTTCCTGATATAGTGCCAACTGGCATATTAGCTTGCCACTCTTGGTGTTTGGAATAATTACAACACTTCTATTCAATTAAGTAAATCTGTAGCTTAAAATGATTCGCACATCTATACAGATATTATAAATGAATAATTATCTTTTATTGCCATCTAAAAATCTTAATTGTGCAATAAACAGTTTGAAACAAAAAAATAGGTGATAATAATACAAGTTATATTTTTGGTATTATGTATTAGTGCATCACGTGATAAATCTTTGAAATTCTATTGGATAACGTCGCAGGTACTATGAAGCAATAGTGCCCGCGCTTGCGCGACGCATTGTTATTATAACGCATTGTGTTCACGTCACGAATCTCCTGCGTCTGGGCGCCACGCAAGAGTTTCGAATTAATGGCGGTTGTGTTTGTGTCGAGCGTTTTGTTACATCGAATGCACCGGCAAATTAGGGAGTATAAAGAAGGTATATAAGCATGAAAAGTAAACAGAAACACTAACTGTATTTTCATAAGTTTTATTTTGTACAAATAACACACAAATATACTACTTGCTGGTGCTAGAAATTCGTGACGTACACATGCAGTTTAATACAAATTGAAAAAATTGTTCGTTGACTTTGTCTTATTCACTTCATATTTGCCGAGTAGATTGCAAAGTCATGTGATGCACTAAAAACATTAATGCGTGTTGTTGGGGGCACTATGCTGTCATAGTGTTGCTTTGGGAAGGAATAGTGCCCTCGCTACCGCTCGGGCACTATACCTTCCCTCAGCAACACTACGAGAGCATAGTGCCCCCAACAACAGGCATTAATATATAAATATGATCAATGGCTTACACATTTCGTTTTTCGGTGTCGGTTTGCCACTGAACAACTAACACTGTTAAGTGCTTACTGCCAATACTTCAGAGCCGAGTGGGTTACTATTGTTTTGTAGTGTTTCAAAGCATTGTAGATGTTTGGATTTGGAGCTCCATTGCAATCTTCTACTTTAATAGGATGAAAAGGGAGGGCATGCGTGGTACTTGTGGGTAAAGCCAACGCATTTATAAAACTACAATGACTTTGACATCCAATATAGTTAGGAAAACAATGGGCAATCATTCTTTGCTGACTTGGGCTGAAACTTGTTATGAACGATAACTATTGGTCGACCACTGAGATCTTGTAGTTCGCTTTCACCATTATATTCTAAACGTGCCATAATGTCGGATGACATTTATGTATTCTATAAAATGTTAAATGACACATGAACAGACTGGAAGTATTATTACAACTTTATACGATATCGGTGCTTCCTCAACTACTGAACAAGCACAACAAATACAATTATGTTCTCATCAAAAATACCACAGGCAAATATTAACTTAGCATGTGTCACATATTTTAAATCACAGAAAATTATTGCACACTCACCATTAAAATGATGCAAAATGGTGCAGTCACGATGCAAGTAATTTTGTGTGTCTGACTGCAATGAAATTATAGTAATGTCTCTCTCGCACCCACTGATGCTTTGCAGTAAAAGTTTGTCTACGCGACTGCAAATCTGCTGGTGAGCCAAACAATGAGAGCGGAGTCGCTCCAGCGCAGCAGCAGCTCGTAGATGTCTATACGTAGCAGGGTCCAGTGCTTCGCACAGGCAACACGAACCCGGCACCAACGCGAGCCGCACTGGTGGTGGCGCCACTCGTACACGGCACGCACGCAGTGCCGCGCCATCGTCAGGAAGTAGCCGGTGCTCGCCTGGATGCCGTGGCTGTACTCGATGCCACGCAGAAGGTCGTTGGCCTTTAGGATGAGCAGCATCTCCCTGCTAACACGGCTTAACACGTCCGTTATCTGCGGTAGGTACAGTGCTGCCATCTGCTGTATCTCTGCATTCTGAGATAAATATGATACGAAATCATTATCAGCGTGTGATGGATGTGGTGAAATGGATGTCAATTGCCAGGGAGCCTATTATAGACTCCCTGCAATTGCCTTTGTTTTTTAATCTTGATATATAGTCCCTCTCTGTGTGAGAATACGGAATAAAATGGCTGGTTTAGTATTGTGGCTTCCCTCACCACTCTCTCGCTACGGAAATATTTAAGTGATACTGATCTAATGACTAAATAAAATATAACCAAAACCGTCCAAACAACTAAGAACAACCCTAACAATATCACCAAACATTTCACGTGATAATGAAAGAATAAATTAACAACATCTACAAGAATGTACCTCTTCGGCTGTTACTTGTTTGCTTATGCCACTTGAGATCGATTTCCAACTCCTAGCTGTGATCATGCATGACAGCAATTGGTAGAGATCACCAACTCCTAAGCGTGTAGCATATTTCTGGATTTTCTCGACATCCGAAGCAATCAAGGACAGCCACAGCTTCGAATAATTAACCCTGAAGTAACTGGTCAGTGTCTGAAATGGAAATGGAATGTCCAGTTTCATCTTACATAAAAAAATCCATTTTGAATGAAGATGATCTTCAACCTGTCATTAATTACGCTACCATGATTAACTGTAGCCCATGACGTCAGATATATAAGATAACATTAAACATACAGCATAAAGACCATGGTCCAGCAGAACTATCTGGGTTCCCTGTGGAGTCTTCTTTACCAGTACGTTGCCAGGATGGGGGTCACTGTGCACGTAACCCTGCACAAATATCATCTCGCTGTACATCTTGCTGAGATTTTTAGTGACCTACAAACGAATCAAAAGCAGTAGTTCAGGTCACAAGACCGAAAAAAACAAATTGCTTCTCTGCCTTTGCTGCCATTTACGATTGCATGGGCAAAGTCCATATCATGATTACATAATATTTAAGCAACTTACACTGCCATATTGGATATTTTTGCCACATCATTGTGAATATTCTTAATACCTCAGTGATGCAAATGTCATGTTTCTTGATGTAATCCTTGTCATTAACTTGGCCACCATCACAAAACTCCATTGTCAGCACTCGCTCCGTTGTCAAATCCCACACTATTTTTGGCACCTAAAATCGAAGTGCACACTGCTTAACTGTCAATACGTTGTCATTTTTACATAAAATTTATCAATTCAGGAATATGTCCTGTGCAACACAATACTTGTTTAGCTGTTGAATACTTAAATATACGGAAATACTTTAACATATTAAATAATTGGAAAGACATTATTTGACATACTACGAAGAGGATATAATGTAAGAACTCGATATGGGACAACTATGTGGAACAGTCTTGTGATCTGGTATTCTAGCTTACTCATAAAATACTATTTTTAGGTAAAATTGTGATAATTATCATCATCAATAGTTACTCCTTGCTGACTGCATGGATCAAATGCATGTGCAAAATGCATGGTCAAATGTGAATTTAACCCGACCTTCAGGAAAGAAAATTGCTTAAGCATCCTTGCCACCCTCTCAGCGTTATTTCCTTCACAGACGAAATCAAGCTCTAATGGTAGGTTTCTTTTTGTCTCATCTACTAGCCATTGAAACTTGAATTCAGGAAAGATCCACGACACAACATTGACGAGGACCTGAAATAATTAGTATAGCTATATGTTAATAACCAGATAACATGAAAGGACAAGTGAACAACTATAAATGCATCAAAAACCACGTGCACATTCACACAGGGATAAAAGGTCATTATCATTGACGGGCAACAACAAAGGAATGCCCCCACATAACAAATCATTTGATATTAACAAGAAAAGTGTTTTATATACTATATTGATAACAACAAAGCTAATTCAGCATCTTAGCTAGGCTCATATAGGGTCTATGTCCCCCAGGGTACTGCCGCAACATACCCTGGGTACGGTCCGGTATACCGGAACCTACCCTGGTAACTATCTGATATGGTTAGGGTTAGGGTTATCAATCATTAATCATTAATCATTAATGATAT